GTGGAATGTTTACGATCTTACACCGAAGCAAGTCTCGACGGAGGACGGTGCGTTCCTTTTTGACTCTGTGTGCCATACAGTTTGTGTATTGCTCATAGCTGCTGGAAATTTGCCTGTTGTCCATGATAATTTTTTGGGGTTATAATTGTTCACAGTTTGGTCTCCCTCTGTTTTTTCCTTCTTTCGCATATCCGTCTTGCAAATTAGTTACATGACATGGCGGGTAGGAGGCTGTACTTGTGATTCCGTGTCTTACCTGCACGCATAATTCGGTCTGTGTTTACAGATAAGGGATGAAACACAGAGACTGCATCGTAAAATGTCTTCCTTACACATGACACTTAAGTCTAATCCTTTTTTTTTTACTATTTCACTTAAGTCCAGTCCTTTTATTTTACTTTTTCACAGATTCTGGCCAGGCACTTATTGTGATGTGAATTGGCATCGGGCCAGGCATTGTCAAAGTATAGCGAGGTGTAAACCCTGACAGTTCGAAGCATGCTATTCATTACTAGATAAACAGTCGAAGGTTTCATAATCTGAGGAGTATGCCATTACACCTATGCGTAGAAGTAAAATTCGATAGAAAGGATATGTTGCTGGTCTTGCTGTCAGCCCAGTGAAGACCTCATGTGAGTAGAAACTGAAGCATGAGATCAATATACATCGATCAGGTGATTTGTATTAGCAAAAAGCTTGCAGCTGAAGGTAGAACTTGGCAAATATTCGTTTTGTATGGTGGCACATTCAACCAGGATTACTGACATGAGATTCTCACATCTATTTTTCGTGCGCTTTTGGTAGAAGTAGAATTACTTTGGCATCAGTTGCACCCGAATTTTGGGTCTATATCCATTTTATGTGTCAGGATCTTCGTTTTATAGATATGCGGCTGGCCCATTAAGTGGCGATGCTCAAAGTCAGCTACGAAGTGTGAAGAAAGAGGAGAAGTCGAGACGGACGAGCAAACAAGGTTTGTAATTCAACAGCACAAAGTTAACAGCTCAGGACTTAATAGTGGCTTAGTGTAGCTGTGTCCTAGTAATCCTTCGATTATCTAAGCGATCTCCTCCGATTATCTAGCAATCCTCCGGTTATTTAAGCGTTAAATCCTTACTCCGATTATCTAAGAGATCTTGATGATCTTGATAATTTATTGTGGAAAATTCGTCACGAACTAAAGGATTTTAACAGATCAGATCATTTTTGTTCCCCCCTCCCTCCGCCTCGTCCATTCTCGCTTCTCAAATTAAAGCGGCCAGTAATGCATTCTTATAAAAGTTGGCCAAGTTTGAGTTTGTGACGGTTTTGTGGCTTCTCTATTAGAACTGAAATTGCAGAGAGAGAAAGCCGCAAGCAGATGTCTCTGAATGCACAAAGCAGCGCTGAGATCGATAAGAAGACATCGTCGCAGGCTGAACCACAGCAACTCTCTGCTAGTTATCTACAGGTTTTGCTTGTTCAGCTTACTTCTTTCCTGCTGCATTTGTATGCAGAGAAAGTTAAAACTTCAATATTTTACCCCTCTTAAAGCGCCGAAAGAGGCCCGCGTTGCACTTTTCGTTTCTCGTCTTTTTCTGCATTTCTTTCTTATTTGTGACGGTGGCATGCCCATGCTTTGGACTAAGTGAAGATAATTGGCCAGTGCGCCGACTGCCAATGCGAAGATGTATTTTTTGCACAGTACCCCACAGGTTTTTGTCGCTAACGACACTTTTTTACCGGCAGATGCTCCAAGCTAAAAGAATTGAAACTGGCCACCATTGTGAGG